TTGTCAGCGCGATAACTCGAGAAATACTTAACATATGAACTTCAAATCTGGTTTGTGGATTGTTCTTGGTAATCCTAAGAAGCCTTTTGCATTTGGGGCCAAAAGGCCAAAGGTCAAGTTCACAGTGGCTAAAACAATAGAAATCATGTCAGCGTGATAACTTGAGAAATACTTTACATGTGAACTTCAAATTTGGTTTGTGGATTGTTTTTGGCAATCCTAAGAAGCCTTTTGCATTTGGGGCCAAAAGGCCTAAGGTCAAGTTCACAGTGGCTAAAACAATAGAAATCTTGTCAGCGCGATAACTTGAGACATAATTAACATGTGAACTTCAAATTTGGTTTGTGGATTGTTCTTGGCAATCCTAAGAAGCCTATTGCATTTGGGGCCAAAAGGTCAAGGGTCAAGTTCACAGTGGCTAAAACAATAGAAATCTTGTCAGCGCGATAACTTGAGAAATACTTTACATGTGAACTTCAAATTTGGTTTGTGGATTTTTCTTGGTAATCCTAAGAAGCCTTTTGCATTTTGGGCCAAAAGGCCAAAGGTCAAGTTCACAGTGGCTAAAACAATAGAAATATTGTCAGCGCGATAACTTGAGAAATACTTAACATGTGAACTTCAAATTTGGTTTGTGGATTGTTCTTGGTAATCCTAAGAAGCCTATTGAATTTGGGGCCAAAAGGTCAAGGGTCAAGTTCACAGTGGCTTAAACAATAGAAATCATGTATTTATTCTGAGATTATAGGGATTAGGGATTAATTCATATAAAACCTACAGAAGACACTGATGCTGTCAATGAATGTTCCATGTGACTAAGGTACATGTAAGTTGATGTTAAAAGAGTGGTGTTATGTCATGGGAACTGTCAGCGTTGCGGGGCATTTGTGTTTGTAAACACACCTGACTTGTTTTTTTTTAGAGTCTATAGAGTCTTTAACACTCCCAGTTATCCCGTTATGGCTGTAGCATTGTGTCAGCCAGCTATTGTTCAGAGCTGCCATAATGGACTGGTTGTTTTGAGCTGGCACAATGCTGCCATTCCTGGAGGTCATGTACTCTTTGCCAAAATTGTTCTATACATATTGATCTCCATGTGTCAAGTCTGAAAAGAATAGACGTTATGTGTGCATGTACATTTGTAAGTTTGTCTGAAGCCCAATATACTTAAACAAGCTGATTTACCCGATCATAGATCGGGTAGGGCGTAGTGTTGAAGATGAAAATGTGGGGAGTTAAATGTAAATGGGGGATATAGTTGGGGCATGGTTGGGGAGACATGCAAAGATAGAAAAGAAATTTCTGTGGTGTGATCTGAGGCAATTTTTGACCACTAAAACCAATTTGAGCAAAAGATCATCTTGTAAAGTTTTGAGTTTTGGGCAGTCGCATTTGGAAAACGTAGTGAAAAGGTTACTGAGTACACAGGCGAAGGCTGATTGTACAGTTTTGACAATAAATCATAATGCAATAAAACGTGAAGGTGTCATTTGAAATGAATTGGTTGAGTGTTACCATAAAATTACAAACGGTCTGAATCATGGAGGAAGGTAATTAAGTTTCAGTATTGGACTCTTCAACAAACGTAAACTTGAACTTCTTACAATTTGCGAGACCGTCTGCGAGGAAAAAGTCGAATCAACTTTTTTTCAAGTTGGTTCAACCATCTAGCAAGTTTTACTCGGCCTCCGAGAAATGTTTGCTCAGTCCTGAAAGGATCCGGTGAGACCGCGGTCTCCCACCGACGCCAAAATGGCTCCACGTCCGTGGAAAAATGTGGAGGGTGTCTTCCGCCGGGTCGGACACTTTTTCGTCAATTTTATTGTGACTGTGTTTAAGATCGCGATATTTGAAGCATGCCAAACAGGCCCCCGAAATTATAGCCCGACACTGAATTATACGTGGCGGGCAGCGAACTCACAAAGCTATTGGTGGAAGCATGGAGCTGTACACACACACGATGGAAGCGACAGAGCACTCTCGTCACATGCTTGTGCTTCAAATAGCGAGCACCGTAGACTCAACCTCTTTTCCAGGGTGTGGAGCAGGCTGCAGTACGTGTTGCCATCGACGGTTTTACGCATAGCCCGGAAATACTACGCAGTGTAGACTTTCGATTGGGCAGATCGCGCAAGGCATACTAATGTGTAGGTCAGACCGCGCAAGGCATACTTATGTTTAGTCATTCTGAGTATTCGTTGCACTCAGCGCAGGGGCGGCGGCAAGCAAAGCTAAAGAGTAGGGACACTTCGTGGCCACGCACCATGGACAAAAAATATTTTACCAAGGTCACCCCATACAACTGTTTGGTGAACGCTTTTGCAGAACGGCCGAGTATAACACGTAAACGGAACCCCTACGTTGACCTCGCTGACCTCGCTGACCTCGCACAGTCTAGACTCGCAGAAAAGCCAGCACGGGGGCGGCCAGGCAGTCAACGTGAAAGCGCACACGACGGCAAATTCCTGTGCAAAACGAAGTCACGAAAAATCGACGAAACGGATGGCCGGTCCGTACGGGAGAATCAGGACGACCCGAAGTGTCCGACCCGGCGGAAGACACCCTCCACATTTTTCCACGGATCTCGGATCCTTTCAGGAGCAAACATCGTCTCGGAGGCGAGTAAACTTCTCTCTTATACTTTAAGTATTGGGCTTCGGACAAACTTACATGCACACATTGCGTCAGTATTCTTTTCAGACTTGACACATGGAGATTAATATGTGTAATAAAATGTCAAACTTTGCAGAATAATTCAAAATCATGTTAAAGCTCACGCCAGTCTCCCCCCCCCATCTTTTCCCCTGTAGACAACTGCATGTAAACAACATTCAGGTACATGTACATGTACCTCAAATTCGCATGCTGAAAAGAGCCTACCGTAATTTAAATTATAAACTAAAATCCTTGGCCTGAATTATTGAAAATCCATTAAAAATGAGCATTGTAACTGTTAATTTCGTTAAAAAGGTTACTTATTTCAGCTTGGTCCATTAACAGTGGCCATCCCCAAACCCGGTCATTATCATGCATTATGAAGACCGCGGATCTTCACACTGTTACATGTACAGGTATGGTATGTACCGGTACATGTAGCCTGAATTATTCCAAAACCTAAAAGATTTCTTTGAATTACAGTATACATGTACATGTACTCTATCAAGTCATGTACAAAAAAACAGAAATTGCCTTTGCAGATACACTGTACATGTACATGTATGTATTTAGGAACAAAGCGTTAATTTTCTTGTATATTGCCAAGCTTGCTTATTATGTACCGGTACGTGAACGCAAATGGTTGTGTTCATTTACAAACCCACATTAACATGTACACTCTGTACGTACTGTACGTAGCACAAATCCATGTTTATTTCCAGTGGAAAGATAATCAGAGAATTCACATGCTCATGACTCACATACGTGCATACACATCATTAATGTTTCATACAGCGCGCCATTCCTAATCAATTCCTCACAAAATGCGAGTATGCATAGTTTATATACTGTATACATTTACATAAATGTAGCATACACACACATGCATGTGCACGCATATTGTACGTTTAGACAGACACAAGTTGTATCAATGTGAACGTGCACTACGACACAATGAACTGAGATCAGAGTGCAAAATAAATAGGCCCATTTCAGACATGGGTACATGTACACATGTGCACAGCATTTGTCAGAAGGAGGGGGGTTCAACTTGCACAATATTTAGGGAATAATAGTGTGAAGAACCGGTCTTCATTGCGTGATAATGACCGGGTCTGGGGATGGCCGCTGTTAATGGACCAAGCCCAAATTAGTTCAATGGTATTTGATTTAATTGTATGACAAATCATCAACAAATATGGACTTTGGTTGCATTTCCTGCTCTTTGCCTGTGTATGTAATTCCCCTGTTTTGTGTGTTCTATGACCTTGGTGATCTTTCCACCAAGTTTCCTGGCTACCAAGCCTTTCCTTCAATAACTCCATTTTCAAATGTAATAAATGGTGATGTATGCAGTTAACCGGTACATCTCAAAAAGTACATGAAAAGCAGCCATGTATAGACAGGTGTACATTGTAAGTGTACATGTACATTGTGTACACTTGTTGTGTACACTTGTTTTGTGCGCTTCATCTGTGCAGAGCACCATACTTTGTAGTTAGTCCAAGTGCAGGTACCGGTACAACTGATTATTTTGCATATACGTGTATGTATGGCTCTCTATACATCCATGCACATTGATCTAACGTTGGGGATGGGGGGCAGCTAGGCAAGTGCCCCAGTGAAGTTCCCCTGCCCCCATTTAAATTCTTGAATTGCACAAAACTGGTTGCCTTCAGTTCCCCCTCTTGAAAAAAATGGTGCACCTCCAGGTGTGCCCCCGTAGAAGTTTAAGGCCAGTTACGCCGTTGGTAACAATATCAGAAAGGTATCACTTAACAAGTAATTCCGATCGTCGTATTGACACCAGCATGCTCAAATGTAATATTTTGCTAAGACAAATTTAAGGGCTGAATCCATTACTTACATGTACATGTATGCACATAGAATAGCTGTTAATGTATTCACAAGTTTGCATTTGTGTATAACGCCCTCTGTCAGATGACTTTTGAGGACACAACTGAGCCACGAACAAACACACATTAGCACATGTAAAATCCCTTCATGTCAGACATCTTTGGACGATATTTTCTGAGAATCGTTTGAGGTTTTGTCTCTTTTGAGACCCAACAAACTGAAATAAGAGGGAAAGGATGCAAGGAGGTAAAATTAGAGACACTTATAATTCTTGAGAAGAAAGTGCAAACCATATATTTGATTCATTTTATAGATAATTCTGCGATCAGTTTTGACATTCTGTAGCTCAAAATTGAGTGTGATTTTCGTATATGTTTAACCATTGAATTTAGGAATTTGGACTATGTGATGATTTATGTACGATGCTTTTATAATTCATGTAATACTCTGTGAACTTAAGGATATTTACTTTGTTTATACATTCACAGTTTTCACGAAGCCACTGCGGATTATTTCACAAGCCAGTGCGAATCATTTCATGGAAGACTTGCGAATCATATCGTCATGATCATCAATCATTTTCATGGAATAAATGCGAGAAAGAACTTTGTTGTTATAATCAACGGCTTCTGTAGAGACCCTTGTTTACTCCTTAGTCACCGACCTTTGACCTAGATGTGACCTGTGACCCCCTGCGAAACCCCTAGTAGTAGCACTACGACACCTAAAAGACTGCACCTCGAAATTGATTTAGTGCTGCCGCTACAATAGCTTTGGAGTTTGAAGCATGTGTTTATAGTATACCGGTACATTATCCCAGTGCAGATTCAACGATGGATTGGTTTGCTAGCTTGTTGTTCAACTAAAAAATCCAACAATTCAGTTTTTCTGCTTTACAATATTGTTGAATTAAAAGAGTGTGTTAAATAGGATGACATACTGGGAATATGAGATGTTCTCAGTTACATGTACATGGTTTGATGTTTACCAGGGAAAGCCCATCGATACGTCCTGTGAATATAACTTTTTTGCATTAAGCAAGGACAGTTAAATGTGTCTACAAAATGGTGTTCCCAGTCAATTTCGAAAGCATGCATCTATAAAGAAATGCTAAAGATTTTGAGACGATCCCTGAAAGTACACTTATACATTACGAGAGTACCAGTACATCATTGTGTGATTATGCATTCCCCCTTGCAAACACATGAAGTGTGTAAAGTTGTTGTTGTTGTCTGTCATATTTCCTTCTTTAAGTAATAAAGTTGGTATAGGTAATACAACATAATTACATGTTAAAAGGATTTTCATTCAACTTAACTCATAAATTGGTTTGCTTCCCATTCAAAAAGAAATTGCTCACAAGTTCAATCCAAGTTATCTTTTCAAATTATCATGGGAAATATAGGTTAAAGTGATAAATAAGTTGGGGAGTCTTTGAATGAAACAGGTTTTTTTTTTAAAATGACTTTTGTAATGCATAGTGAATTGCAGTGAATACACAAGGATCGAGGTGCAGGCTGTTAAAAGACAATCTGTTCAAATAATTATTTGAAACAGGAAATCAAGATGGATGGTCAGACAGATTAAATGTAACTCCATCCTTCCTGAAAAACTGAGTCCATCATAACCGACAGTGTGCAATCCATGCTAAAAAAAGGTATTTGTACAATAGTACTCGCATATTAATCTGAAAGTAAAGTACATGTATATTGAATAATTGCAAGGGTTCACTGTCCTGTATTCACCACAGAAACAGATCAAAGACAACCAAAAACCTGAAAGCTTTGGACAGAATGTTAATGAATTCAGTGAAGCCATTTATGGTGTACCAGCTGATTTACCGATCATAGATCGGGTAGGGCGTAGTGTTGGGGATGAAAATGTGGGGAGTTAAATGTAAATGGGGGATATAGTTGGGAGACATGTAGTTAAAGTAAAGCAATTTCTGTGGTGTGATCTGAGGCAATTTCTGACCACTGAAACCAATTTGAGCAGAAAATCATCTTTTAAAGTTTTGAGTTTGGAGTAATTGAATCGGCTACATGTATTCTGAGCAATAGAATCAGTCGCATTTGTGAGGCAGTCGCATTTGGAAAACATAGTGAAAAGGTTACTGTAGTACACAGGCGAAGGCTGATTGTACAGTTTTGACAATATAAATCATAATGCAATTAAACGTGAAGGTGTCATTTGAAATGAAAATGTTGAGTGTACCATAAAATTACAAACGGTCTGAATCATGGAGGAAGGTCATAATTAAGTTTCAGTATTGGACTCTTCAACAAACGTAAACTTGAACTTCTTACAATTTGCGATACCATCTGCGAGGAAAAGGTCGATTCAACTTTTATTCAAGTTGGTTCAACCATCAATATGAGAGCAAGTTTTACTCGGCCTCCGAGAAATGATTGCTCCTGAAAGGATCCGAGACCACGGCTTCACGTCCGTGGAAATATGTGGAGGGTGTCTTCCACCGGGTCGGACACTTTTTTGTCGATTTTTTTTTGTGACTGCTTTTAAGATCGCGGTATTTGAAGCAATGCATCAATCCTTCGTTGATCCCAAACAGGCCCCTGAAATTATAACGCGACACTGAATTATACGTGGCGAGCAGCGAACTCACAACGGTCAGCCTTGGTGGATAAAACACATGATGGAAGTAACAGAGCACTATATCACGTCATATGCTTGTGCTGCAAATAGCGAGCACCGTAGACCCAACCTCGTTTCCAGGGTGTGTAGCAGGCTGCAGTATGCGTTGCCATCGATGGTTTTACGCATAGCTTGGAAGTACTACGCAGTGTAGACTTTCGATTGGTCAGACCGCGCAAGGCATACTAATGTGTGGTCTTTCTGAGTATTCATTGCACTCGGCGCAGGGGCGGCAAGCGAAGCATATGAAAGAATAGGGACACTTGATGGCCACGCTCCATGGAGAAAAAATATTTTGCGAAGGTCACCCCATGCTACTGTTTGGTGAACTCTTTTGCAAAACAGCGAAGTAGAACACGTAAACGCAACCCCTACGTCGAAGCCGCTGACCTCGCACAGTCTAGACACGCAGAAAAAAAGCCAGCAGGCGGCCAGGCAGTCAACGTGAAAGCGCACACGACGGCAAATTCCTGCGCAAAACGCAGTCACGAAAAATCGACGAAACGGATCGCCGGTCCGTACGGGAAAATCAGGACGACCCGAAGTGTCCGACCCGGCGGAAGACACCCTCCGCATTTTTTCGTGGAGCGATTGTGGCACCGCGGGAGCCCGCGGTCTTGGATCATTTCATGAGCAAACATCGTCTGGGAGGCCGAGTTAAACTCTCTCTCTTATATATACAGATATTACTAGGTTTTCTAATCACATCAAATGAAATCCCATTAGCAGGTCTTCAAATTCTTGAATTAATCAAAATACTGCATGACTGAAAAGGGGTGAGTTCAGTGTACAGTGTGGGGCGGTATCATAAGTCCGACGCCTCATAGGTCTGACGCCTCACAAGTCCGAATGAAGCGTCGGACTTATGAGGCATAACATTTATTTATTCCGCCTCATAAGTCCAACGCCTCTTCATAGGTCCCACTCGGAAAAAGGAGGCATTTAATTTGTCGGACCTACGAGGCGTCGGAGCTACGAGGCATCAGAGCTACGAGGCATCTGCGCTATGAGGCGTCAGACTTATGAGGCGTCGGATATACATGTATGACTTGGCTCGGACTTATGGGCCTTTATTTGGTTAGTGGATGCGATTTTGTCGGACTTATGAGGCGTCGGACCTATGAGGCGTTGGACTTACATGTATGAGCAGACCCCTACAGTGTAGCCTTGTAGGTCATAACTTTATGTTACTCCCAATTTCCTAGATAGTCAAATATGTCATTGCAGTTGAATTCTGTGACTTTGTGTTGTGCTGTAAACAGTCCCTCCATTTAGATTGAGGTTAATTTTCTCCACAGGAGTTATCTGACATTGCATGCTGTAAATAATTCTCACAGGATTAGTGAATATATCTTTAAGAGGTTAACAGTTGACAGTTAAAGTTTGTTTGACATGTTAACCACAATGTCCTCCTTATTTATTTGTGTATGGTCAGTCAGGTCAATGCACTGTCTGCTTGGTGTTTCAAGTCATGAGGTCACTGTTCACTGACCACAGGACTTTGTTTATTTTATAGACCTACTACAATATACATGTATATGTACCTGTTGTGTACATGTATTGCTCTACTGATACGGCACTGATGCATTTCAGTTTGTGACCTACATGTATATATTACATATGCATTGATTCCAGTATTTGTTGACCCTGTATGTGTCTAAAGAGACCTGGCCATTTGATGAGGTAATTCCTCTTCATTAAACTATATGCAACTGCAGGCATAGGGGTACTGTGACAATTTGTTCCATTATTCATGTCATTGGCTTTGTTATGGTGTTTGACCTTGTACATGTAGGCGACCTGATATGACCCAATTCACGCTGTAGCCAACCACAAGGCTATAATGCATAATTAATGAATGCCTACATGTAATTAATTGTTTTGAGCACGGCATTAATGGTATAGCGGTGGTGACTGAGAAAAAAAACCATGATGGTTCATATGGAGCAGTGTAAAATACAAAGATGGGGTTGATGGGGACTTTCAACCTTTCTAAAAATTTAGGCTCCTGATATTAATTTTCTGAGATGGTTCTATAATTCTGATGCTTTATATCAGCTCATGTAATATTTGCTTCCAAAACAAGATTTTTGCAGCTAATGAAACAATTACTTGTTCTTCTGTTTCTCTTAAAAAACTTCTGGTTTTAATCGTATTATCAACAGGGTTCCTTTATTTTTTTATGTTTTTTTCCAACCACATTGCAATCAGTCTGTAAATGCAAAAATGCAATGCACATGGAAAAAGTACTTCCTTCAATTTTAATAACAGATTATTGTAGTTGAAAGTTCACTTTTTTATATGTTGAGACAGGGTTGTTTGTAAGCGTCTCCAACTGAGTATTTTCTCTCTTTCGCGCAGCATATTAAGTGAAATATGATCAGTTTGTTTGTTCAAGTTCAAATTCTAGTTAGAAGGCACAGGGCTAAATTTTTCAAAACGTTTTTTAATGCATTTGATGTTGTCGAAAGAGATGTGTTATTATGGCCAGTTGTTTAATTTTTAAATCAAGAACGGATTTCACTCAATAAAGATATTTATGTTATTTCTTACCAGTACTGTTGCATGTAAAGGGCATTTTTCATGTTTAAAAAATTATGTTTTAAAACAGTTAAGAATGTTATAACTTGTTATTGCTGTTCAATAAATTTACACACACAAGTTAAAGATAAGTGTTTCTACTGTCATGACTGTCTGTTGTCTTCTTCCTTATTTAACTTCGAGCTCAGGAGCACAAAGTTACATTGGTATATTCTGTGTTCAGAAAGTGCTGTTGTCTGTATGGACACATACATGTAAAGTCGAACACCAAATAACAAGCTCCTTGGGACTTTACAAATTACCTTGTTATAGTTTTATTATCAGTAATGGAAAACAAAGGGGGGAAAAAGAAAAACAGACTTGGGGCCTAACATTTTCCTTGTTATAAGCAGGGGGGGGGTTCGACTTATTTTTTAGAAATTTGTATGATAACTGTTTTTTTTTGACAGAGCTGGGTTTGTTTGTTTTTGGACCCTCCCCCCTGGATCCGCACCTGACTGTTTAATATTTATGTAGTGGGACTCTTATACATCAAACATAATGCTGTAGAAAGTTCTAACAGTGAGGTTTTTGAAGATAAATGAGGCTGTAATAGAGTTTGATATCAAGGAAAGTACTGGGCGTTTTTACCCCTGATTTTGCCCGGGGTAAAAACGCCCACTCAAAAACATTATTAAGCAAATATAAAAAATAGATTTTAATATTGTAATCATTTATAATTATGTTATTAACCCTTCTTAGTATATATCAACTAAAGAATAATAAAAATATAAGATACTTTTTTTTATAAAATAAATTCAAGCGATATAGGCTAAACCTTCGACGGCCATTTTTAAAAACGTTTTTATGCCCCGCGGCAAAGCCGAAGGGGCATACTGTTTCCGCCTTGTCCTTCCGTGGGTGGGTGGGTGGGTGGCTGGGTATGTGAAACTGGGTTGGGTTGGGTTGGGTTGGGTTGGGTTGGGTTGGGTTGGGTTGGGTTGGGTGGGGGTGAGCTTGTCTTACATACGCAGTGTGGACTTCCAAACAAAACACGTCCACATAATGTAGGTAGCACCGACGTTGTGTGGACTTGCCCACGTCCACACAGTGTTTCCCCATTTCTGGAAAACAGGTTTAGAGGCATTTTTGGGTTAGGTTTATCTGTAGCAGAATGAAGAGAAACACTAAAGGGAATCATTGAAAAAAAATTGGGTTGTAAGAGTTTTCACAGTTTGAGAAAAATGAGTTTTTCCACTGGTGTTCCTTAACTACACGAAAAGAAAGGAAAGTCCACACAAGGTATGTGAAACAAGTCTGGGTGTGTGTGTGTGTGTGTCCGGACAAATCATGTCAGCGCGAAATACTTAACATATGAACTTCAAATTTGGTTTGTGTATTGTTCTTGGTAATCCTAACAACCCTTTTGCATTTGGGGCCGAAAGGGCAAGGGTCAAGGTCACAGTGACTAAAATAAAAGAAATTTTGTCAGCGCGATAACTTGAGAAATACTTTACATATGAACTTCAAATTTGGTTTGTGGATTGTCCTTGGCAATCCTAAGAAGCCTATTTCATTTGGGGCCAAAAGGTCAAGGGTCAAGGTCACAGTGGCTAAAACAAAAGAAATTTTGTCAGCGGGATAACTTGAGAAATTCTTCACATGTGAACTTCAAATTTGGTTTGTGGATCGTTCTTGGTAATCCAAATAGGCCTATCGCATGGGGGTCGAAAGGTCAAGGGTCAAGGTCACAGTGGCTAAAACAATAACAATCTTGTATTTATTC